TGTCTCAGCAAAGCCTTTGAGCTGAAGGCCTCATGCCACCTCCCCCACTTCTTGGTGACAAACCACTTCTGTCTCACCAGGTTTGAAGATTGGGGAAACTGAGGCACAAGGGCAATGACAGGATAAGGGCAGTAGGTTTGCTAAGTAGAGTCAGGCCTCAGCTCTCCGCACCCCTTGGTCCACAGTTTTGGCTCTGCAGACCCTAGGTGGGGCAGGACCTGCAGGGGAGTGTCCTCAATACAAGACTCCTTGGGGCAGGAGGAAGCAGCCAGTGGGGGTGACCTTTTTCCCATGTCTTTCTTCTTTCTTTTTTTAATCTCACTAGGTAGCCCAGGCTGGCCTCAAACTCTCAGGGATCCTCCTGCCCCAGCCTCCCGAGTGCTGGGATTACAGGTGTGCGCCACCACTCCCAGCTTTTCCCCTGACTTTCAACGTTTGCACCAGGGGATGCCAGACTGGAGGTGCCTGAATGTGTGTCTCTGGGGGACAGGACCAAGGCGGCCTGGGCCGTGGAAGCCTTGAGAGGCACAGTTGCTGCAGGTAACTTACGCTGCAGGAGAGAAGGGTGAATTTGGAGCCAGAGCAAAGCAGGAAGCGGGTGGGGCTCTCCCCAGGCAGCAGGCAGACGAGGGCCAAGGGGTGGACCTGCCTCCCGTCCAAAGATGGGACAGTAGAGCAGAAATTCAGGGAAAAAGGAGCTAACCCAGTTACCAGGAAAAGCAGCTGGAAGGCCAGCAAGTGCTTTCTGAGGCCGTCAGGAACTTGAGTCTTCAGAGAATTTAAAGAGGAAAAATATCAGTCTTGAAGGCCTCTCTCCAAGGCAGGGTGGCGGTGAATCACTCTCCGCTGAGGAAAGCCCTGGAACCCTCTCTCCTGGGCTCCTGCCTCTGCCAGGTCATCCAGGGTGAGCGCAAAAAGCCCTGGGTTCAGAAGCTGGAAGCCCAGTTCTCAGTCCTATCTCTGCTTTCTAAAGCGGGGTGACCCCAGGTCGGCCACCCACTGCCCTGGGCCTTGGTTTCCTTACAGGAAAAGAGTATAAACCATCTATGCTTCGGTTTTCTTATCTGCAGATTAGGGATGTTAATGATATCATGTTTCCCTAAATCTAAGATGTCATCCATTAATGACACACCCATTATTTATGCACATTAAGAGAAAAAAAAACATCAAATAAACTGTGACATACCATCAATCATAAAACACATGCTGAGCTGGGCCTGGCGCCACCTACAATCCCAGCACTCGGAAGGCTGAGGCAGGAGGATCACTGCAAGTTCAAGGCCAGCCTGAACTACATAGTAAGACCCTATCTCAAAAAAAGGAAAAGAAAAGAAAGGACACATTTTGACTTTGTAGGTGTTAAAATCTATTTCTCAGAATCAGTGAATTCCAATCCTTATCTTACAAATTGTTTCCAAGAATTAAACAAGATAATGTGAACAAGCCCTCAATAAATGTCAGGTACCTTTATGGTTCAGGGTGTAGAGCGACAGCCAGGGTCCGAAGCCCACCCCACCCTGCTGGCAGGGTGTCAACCCCAGGCCTGAAGCCTGGAGGGGGGACACAGGCAGAGCCCATGGAGGCAGCCCCAAGAGAACAAAGGGTCCCCCAGTCTGCGCCCCGGAAGTTGACCTAATCTCCAGGATGAATGTGTTTTCATTTCTCACAAGTTCCTGTTAAACTGTGCCAAAGTGTTTTTCCTTTACAATCCAGGCAAACAAGGCGGGTTTACTTTGGGCGACCTTCTGGCCTCCACCCCAGGCCTGCATGCGCATGTCAACAGCAGGGTGCCTGTGCCCTCCTGGAGGGCCCTGGCAGGATCTGGGCAAGGCCGGTGCCAGCCCTTCACCACCCTTCTCCCTGTGCCAGGCCCCACCCTGGGGAGGGTAGGTGGGTGATCCCTGGGTGGATAGGGACCCCACGGGGCCTCAGCACTTCCCCATCTTTTGGGGGTCTTTTTGAGACAGGGTCTCACTGCGCAGTTTAGGCTGGATTTGAGCTCACTTCGTAGCCCAGGCTGGTCTCAAACTCGCAATGATCCTCCTGCCTCAGCCTCCCGAGTGCTGGGATTACAAGCATGTGCCACCCACCCGGCATTTCCCCATCTTATAGCTGTGGAAACAGAGAAGGCCAGGGGGCCGCCAGAGGCGCCCTCACCCTCCACACACATCACATGCACACACAGCAATGCACACGCACACACCATCCTGCTCACGGCTCAACTAGCAGTGTGTCTCTCGACCTGACCTTCATGGTCTGGGACCAGAAGCTTCTCTCTGCCCTTTTCTCTCCTCTGTGTCCCTGGCAGTCACCTCATTTGGCTGTCTTGACCTCCACAGCTAGGACAGCTGCTGCCTAGCAGCAACCAGGGGTTTCTGAGCCCTCAGCAGCAGGGGTGGCAGCAGTATTTGGGGGTATGGAGGTGGCATTTGCAGGACTGGCCATGGCCCCTCAGCCAGATGCCTTCAGATGTTGAGAAGGGGCGAGGGACCAGGCCCACTGACTGGCGGGAAGGAAGCAAACCCTGTCTGTTGGGTCTGAACCCAGACGTCAGACCTGGTACCAGGGCTGTGTCCTTTGGACTCCTGGAGAATGGCTGAGGACCGAGACAGGGCTGAACCCACGCTGGGTTTGTTCCCAGGGATGAGCACTGCCCCACTCTCTACGTCTGAGTCCAGCGCACTGGCCCGAGGCGCTGTGCAGGGTGCTGGAGCGCCACATTCACCTGTCACCGTCCAGCCCCCTCTCTCCTCCTTGCTGTTCCTCTGCCTGGCATGATTTTCCCTGCATCTCGGCCCCTGCATGACCCCCGTGATTCCGTCCTCAGCTCAGACGTGAGCCATTCCGGGAAGTCTTCCTTCCCTGCGCAGCCACGCCACACCATTTTGGTTCTTCATAGCCCTCACCATGACCTGAAGTTACCTTCTTCACATGTCTCACGCTCCTTTCCTCTCCCTGCCTTCTCCCGTACTTTCACTCTGGGACCTGAGTTCTTTGTTGCCGAGACCCCTGGGCCCCGGCTCGGGGCTGTGCATTGTGGGTTTTCAACAACCCTTGTAGGATTTGTGAAGAGATCCCCTGGCGTCCTACCTCTGCCTGACCATCCCATCCCCTTCACTCTGAAAAGGAAATGACCACGCCGTTTCTCACACCAGGCTGCGCCCTGCCTGTCCCCTGTCCTCACCAGCTCCTTCTCCTGGGAGAGCCGGTCTCTCCGACTCCACAGGAGACGCCGGAACCAGAACATTCCCCCAGGATTATTTCCAATGGTTTCCTGGGGTGTTCATCTGGGTAGGAATAAGGAAACACAGGACGCTCTAATCCTACTTATCTAAAACTATATAATCTCCCCAATCACTTAAATGATACCTGTGTCTCTAATTATAGAGCCGGCTGCGGGGAACACAATTTCCAGCCAACCTCAGGCAGAGGGACACTTTAGTTCCTCCTGGGGACCAGGGACTCCAGCTCAAGGTGGACTTGGTGGTCCAGCCAGAGACCCTCTGCTTGCTCTATGAAGGACCAGCAGGGTGGTCCTCCGCTGGACAGATGTGACACCTTTGGGGAAAATTTCCATAGTAGCCCTGAGCCCCTAACTTGACCCACCACGATCCTTGAGAATGAACCGATTTCTCTTCGATCCAGCCTAGCTTTTCGGTCACACTGTAGGTGAACCGGTCCCCAGAACATGGCTGTCATCCCAGCCTCTTGGGAGCAAACTCTGCAGGAGGCCTGGGAGCCAAGAGCCACGTGATGGCTTGCAGGGACAGAACTTCAGTGCTCTGTCAACCAGGTCCTGGGGTGGGGAAAGGCTACCTGCTCACCTACCCCAGGCTGGCAAACACTGCTGTCTTGGCATCGTGAGTCCTTCTCCCATTTGGCATGGACAGCCATTGCAGCGATGCCCATGGTTAGCTGCGATGACATCTTTATGTCATAAAGGCCTTTTGGTTCCTGAGCTAATTACCCAAAAAAGGAGGACACGCTTAATCCCATTAATGACTCCTGCGCAGGAAGGAGGGTGTCCAGCCCTGAGGGCGGGCCCGTCTGAATCCTTCCATTTGTTCAGGTGCCCGGGACTGTTTATCAGCCCTTTCAAGAGATTAAGTCCTGCCAGGAGCGGGCCACTTAGGTAATGGATCCCGGGAGGCCTAGTGTGTCAGGTGACTGTGTAGCCTGCAGCCTGCCCCAAGCTCCACCGAGGCTGCATCCAACTTCCTGCTCTTCAGAAGGCCCAGAAGAGGGGCACCCACTTCATCTCTTGCTGCTCTCAGGGAAGCTGGGGGAAGTCCTGCCCCAGGAGCCGCACAGTCCAGAGGGGTCCCACAAGGACTTTATCAATGGAGGGACAGGCACAGTGTCCCCAGAGTAGATGCCCAGGGCTCCAGGTAGACGCCCAGGAGGAGGAATGGGCTGAGAGAAGAGTTAGGAGGGGCACAGTCTCCTCACCAAGGGAAAGTCTGTTGAGGGGGCTCGGAAATTATATTCCCTTCCACTGGGTAGCATCAGGCTGAAAGAAATGGAAATAATTCAGATCCGTCATCGATCCAGGAATGGGACCTGGGATCGTGTTGGGAAAGATTTCACAGGATACTGATGTTCCAGAAACACCATTTTTGTTTTTTAGGACAGTTTTGCTGGGGATTGAATCCAGAGTCTTTGCACTGAGCTATATCCTTAGCCTTTTTATTTTTTTATTTTGATACAGGGTTTCCCTAAGCCGCTAAGTCGCCCAGGCTGGGCTCGAACTTTGAATGCTCCTGCCTCAGCCTCCTGAAATGCTGAGATTACAATTTTGCACCACCATACCCGGCTCCAGGACCATTTTATATTTAAATTTCTCTCTTGAGGGCTCAGAACAGCGCCTGCCAGACTAGGTTGCAAATGTTTCTTTAAAAGAGGAGGGACGACCCTTCAAACCACACCCCTCCTCATTAATATGGATTTATCGTGAATATTGATATGGGGGCGTGGCGCCTCGGCCAGCTGGGCTCTCCAACCCCGGGTTCCCAGTTTCTCAGAGAGGAAAGTGACAGAAGCCGTGCGGAGGGAGACGCAGCGACCGCGGAGAGGCCGGCAGCCACCCAGTCTCGGGGGAGCGCTCTGCTCCCCCGCCCCCGGCTCCCACCCGGTCCGGGGGGCTCCTCCAGCCTCAGCCCCACCCCCGGGCTCCCCATGGAAGCCAGCTGTGCCCCGGGAGGAGCCGGAGGAGGAGTCGGCTGAATGCCCGCGGTGCGCCCGGGGCCCCCGCGCCAAGCCCGCCGCGCGCCGCTGCCCTGAGGCCTTGTGCCCCGACCCCGGCCTCGGCCCGCGGGAGCCCCGCGCTGGGCTCGGAGGGGTCCCCGGCGCCACTCGCGATGGACGCCGTCCTGGAGCCCTTCCCGGCCGACAGGCTCTTCCCCGGCTCCAGCTTCCTGGATTTGGGGGACCTGAACGAGTCGGATTTCCTCAACAATGCGGTAAGTAGAGGGGTCCCCTCCACGATTGCACAGCTCAGCACCCCTCTGCGCGGTGCGCCTGGGACCCCAGAAAGACCGGAGCATTGGAGCAAGAGCAGGGTTGGGGAGCTGGGCGCGGGGTCTCCGCGGGCACACGTGCTCAGCGCTCCGAGATCTGGCGACTCGGTCCCCCGACGCTTCCCTGCGCCCCAGAGCCGGGACCCGCGGCGCAGAGCTTGCGCCTGGGCGCGCTGCTCCCGGGCTCAGTCGGTGCCCACGACCGCCTCAGCCTCGAAGGGGAGCCTCGGGCATGCGCTCAGGGGACACCAGTTCTGCCGCCCCCCGCGCGCGTCTTCGAGCCAAACCCCCACCCACCCCGCTATTCTGGCACCAGATGGGGCTCAAAGGGCTGGCGCCCTTTCCTGCGCCCCCTTTAGGGCCACCGTGTCGGGGCGATGGATCCCCGCTGGGGGGCGCACAGAGGAGCGTTCCGAGCGCCAGAGACCAGAGGATCCTGGGGGTCAGAGCCAGCCCCGGGTTCTGAGCCAGACCCTGAAACTTAGGGGTGCTGCCCTGGCCGGCCCAGGGAGTGAGCCCGGAGACCTCCCAGGGTGGGATCTGCGCCTCAGGGGCTCAGGGCAGCACGGTGGGGGGCTCGCTCAGGAGGGAGGCCTGGCTCACCTCTCTGGGTCTCTGGATCACCATACTGTCTGTCTCTCGGTCCCTCCTGCCTCTGCTGACTTTTCTCTCCCAGTGGTTTCATGACTGTCCCTGTTCCTGGCTTATCGTTTTTTTCTCCACTTTGTCTCTTCCCCTCCCTCCCTAAGGAAACGTGGCTCTCTCTCCTCGGTCCTCCCTCCCTCCCCCTCAGACTCAGCCCTAAGGCCTTGGTTGGGGGAAGGGCGTGGGCTCAAGGAAGGAGGAAATATCTGGGTTCAGAAGGACCTGCCCAGAAGACAAGAAATGTGGGCTGTTCGGAGTACGAGTTGCGTCCCCACCTCACCCACACACCACGGGGGCAAGCACACCAGGGTCTCACCCGCAGGGATGAAAAGAACCTTGGTCAAGCACCAGCCAAGTCCTTGGGGACTTGGGCATCTTTAATTTCCACCGCGCTGGCCCAGGAGGCTAGGCTGACCCAGGCACACAATCCAAGGGACAGAAGAGGTCTCCCCTTTTCCCTTTGGTATCACATCTGTGTTGCTGGCTCTTTGAGGGAGGCTCCCCTGGTCTCAGACATACAGGCAAACCAAGGAGACAGGAGAGAGAGGGCTTATACTAGGTGTACAAGGAACTCGGGTGGAGCATTGGATCTGTGACCCTGGGCACTTGGGCCTGCCTCCAGCTTTCCTCCCCTAGCCTCAGTTTCTTTGTCTGAAAAATGGGTGAAGGTTGGGGGTTGAGTCTTTCTAAGGATGGTTCAGGCACAGGTCCTAAGAATAAAGCAGCAGGGTCTTGGGAATCCACACAGCCACCTTGGAGCTGGTAAAAGATTCTGGAGAGAGGGAAAGAGGTTTGCTGCCGCTCAGACCCTCAAAGTCAAAGGGGGCAGCAGAGCCCCCCTTGGCCCCTGGCAGCTCCGGGCTGAGCTTTCTTCTGAATGAACTCTGTACCCGCGGCCTCCTGGAGCTCTTTCTGCTGTTCCATTCAGCCCTGCATCCCCAGCTGCTCCTCTGGGCCCTGGTCCAGCACAGGAAAAGAGCTGTGATGAGACAGTGATGTTCAGCCCTGGGACACGGGGAGGGACAGCCATGCAGGGGACGGGGTGTCCTGCAGTCCCATCAGAGCAAAGGGGTGAGGCAGGAAAGAGAGTACCTAAGGGCAGTGAAGAAAGATCCCTGGGCTACATAGCAATCCAAAAATTTGGGTCTGGATGTGTTTCTGCCACCCGCCATTCAATGACTTTTCTTCTGGGCCTTGGTTTCCTCATCTGAAAAGTGGGACTATCAGAACCTTCACCATAGCCTATTATTGGAGAGATTTGATATGAAAAGTAACATAAAGATGAACATAGCAGAAGGCCTCGCATGTCACAGGCCACAGCTGACTTGTTCCAGCAGCTGGATGAGGTGTAATGAGAAACACTGGGCCAGGAGTGCTGGGTGAGTGTGAGTGAGTCCTGGTCCTCCTCTGGGCTTCCATTTTCCCAAGTCTAAGGTCTTTTCCTGCGGCAGCTGCTCCCCAACTCATCACTCTGCATGAGGGTAAGACAACGTTTCCGGAGGTGAGGATGAGCAGGCGCAGTATCTGGCTGAAGATGCAGAGTAGTGTATTCACTGTCCCTAAATGTCCAGATACCAGCCCGAAGCCGTGTGGGAAACCCGTGTGCTCTGTTGCTCTGAAAGTGCAAATCAACATGTGTGCTCACCCTGCAAGCAGCTCTGCCAGGGACGCGGCACCTGGCCAGGCACCGAGCCCACGAGGCCAGGCAGGTGGGTCCGCAGCTGGCTCCGGTGCCTTGGCTTTCCTTCTGGGAGACCGGCATGCTGCTGCGATCTGTCTGTGGGATTCCCAGGGACACCTCAGAAGGGACTGTCCTTCCTGCCAGATGTGGGGGCTTCTCCTCCCTGCCCCCCCAAGTCTCACACGCTTCCTGATGCAGCTGTCTCCCGGCCCTCTGCACTGTACCCTGCGACCCTTCATCCCCTTGGTGTGCACGAGCGAGGGTCCAGGCGCGGGGACTGAAGGTACAGGGAGTGGCGGCTGTAGACGGAAACAGTAGGTCTGTGCATGTGGTGCCTTTTTCCTCGGGCTACGGGGAAGGGATGACTGATTCCTTTAGAGGGAAATGGCTTGGGGTCCGGGAGAAGCCCCAGCTGGAGGGTGTGCGGAAGAGGAGGAGGAGGAGGAGGAAGAAGCTCTCTGTTGTCTCAGAGGGGAGCAGCAGGAAGCTGCAAGGATGTTTGCCCGGTACACTCATTCACCTCCCAACAGCTGGGGACGCCAGGTGTGGGGAGGACGGACCCAGGATCCACCCAGGGGGAGTCATCTGGGGGGCGCCGAGGCTGATCACCGCTCCCAGATCCCCAGCCTGGCTCCTCACGCGAGCTAACTGGGGAAGCAGGGAGCCACCCCCAACCCCTACACCCCACCCCCACTCCCAGCCTTTGGAGGATTCAGGGAGATTAGAGAAGTATGTGTGTTTGGTTGTGCCTACGTGGGTGGGCTTTTTACAGCCCTGAAAGAGGAGATGTGAGTATGTGCCTGTGTTTTCTTTAGATTCTCATGAAAGAGCTGGGAATATAGCTCAGCGGCACAGTGCCTAGCTGGCAAGCTCTAGGTCCTGAGTTCGATTCCTGGTACAAAAAAAAATTCTCACGAAAGAGGACAGAGAGGCCAAGGCCCTCTGCTCTGTGTCGAATCAGCTAGGAAAGAGTGAATGAGGAAAAACTAATAGAGCAGCCCGACTCTCAGAGCTCCACATCAGAAGGGAAGACTTCCTCAGACTCCTGCGCCTGCACAAAACCCAGAGTTGTGGAACTGGTGTTGTTGCTGCTTCCCCCACTCTCAGGAAATGAGTTCCTCGAGGCAGGAGTCCCTCGAGACAGTTCCTGGTCTGCCTTGGTCACTGCTCTGTCCCTAGTGCTTAGCACAGTGCCTGGCCTAGGGTGGGCCTCAGCCAAGCACAGATGGTTGAATGGATGAATTAATGAATGCATGAATGAGGGTCAGGCCAGACCTCACACTTTTTAGGGAACAGGGAAGGGAAAGAGTGCCGCAGTCCATCTGTTCCCGCCCCTCAGGATCCGGCCGCCCACCTGGCCTCCTGGCCCTTTACATTCAATGGGAGGGACAGGGTCGGGAAGACGTAGGACAGAGGCTCTGCTGGGGTCCTGCTGGAGTGGGCCCGTGGGGGGACCTGAGCCAGGCTGGAGGTCATGATTCAGGTCATGATCGCTGTCGGGCTTCCTGAAGTGACACCCCCTGTTATTTTCTGTTTTGGCTCTATGATTTCTTTTTTTATATCCTTAATCTCAATTCACAGTTATCTTAATTGGCTTGTTATCTTTTTCCTCCATGAGAAAGTTCCATAAAAACGGAGATCGGTTTTGTGCATTGCCATAAACCTAGCACGGTACTGTGTCACAAAAGAGGTGGTGGATCTGGTAAAACTCCACCACTGGAGTCTACAGTTTCCAAAGTATGTAAAAGGTGGAGCTGTGCTTTTGTAGGGTTGAGGAACGGCGGGCGTGTGTTTCAGGCGATCTGTACTATCATGAAAGGCACAAAAGCAGGACGGAAAGCTTCCTGCCGGCCACAGGTGGAATGCAGGAGCCTCACAGGAGCACAGGCGGCCAGGACGTAGGACAGGAGCTATCTGGGTCACGCTGTAGAGAACTTTACTTTGTTTAGGGATGGACTGTATTTGTAAAGAAAACTACTTTATGCCAGGGCCGCCCCTCTATGGAAGGGAAACAACGACATCGAAACAGACCTGGGTGTTTGAGGAGTCTGTTGGCAATTCCAGGAGGGGCTTGGGGTCCTCGGGGTCCTGGCCTGGTCAGTGCCGAGGGTGGTGGGGATGCTGGGTCCCCCAGAAGTGCTGTCTGCTCCCTAGTCTACTATCACACACACGCGCACACACACACACACACACACACACACTCCAGCCTCCCTGGACTAGCTGGGGATTCCCTTGCTTATTCATTAAAGCAGACAGGCCTTCCAGGGGCTCTGCTCCTCTCCCTAAAGCCTTAGGCATCCACGAGGCACTAAGAAATGAGCGGATGAGCATTAAGGCAAGGACCTTCTCACAGCTTCCCTTGTCCTGGACAGTAAGCTCAGAGCACAGTAAGATGAGAGAGCCGCGTGGGGTGGCGCACGCCTGTGATCCCAGCACCTCGGAGGCTGAGGCAGTCCTCTAGGGATGGTACAGGAGGGGCACCCTTGCCAGTGCCGGGGTTACCTGGACAGGAAGACATCTGGCACCTGGCCCTCCATCCGTTCACTGGGGAAGAGAGGGACCGAGTGGGGAAGATGCTGGTTGCTGCCACGGCCAGCCTTGTGTGGACGGATTAACA